GACTCCTGACAACAGAATTCGATCTCAAAATAGGAGAAAAATGACGAGTAGCTAAAAATATGGAACCAATTGATGCGATGTATCGCATGCCGTTCTGACACAAAATATGGCGTCCATCGAATCACCTTAAAAGAAAAAAATATCTACCAATAGTCGCGCATAAAAAAGTGATTTTTTGAATGAGCTTGGTTCCCTTTAACCACGGTACATTAAACGGTTCAATATGGTCGTTGAGAGAAGTCCCGTGAATCACTATTACATTGTAGTGCATATGCGTCGTTTCTGAAGCGGCAGTTTTTTGGAGCGCCCAGGAATATTCAATGCTTTTGAGTTTTTGCAGACGTCAACTAGAATTTCGGCGACAAAAACAAGGAAACTGAGGAAAAGCCCCACCACAAGTCCAATAAAAGCTGATTGCAAATCATTCATATTATAAGCTCGGAGTTCCTCGGCATCGGCTAGTCTGGGTTTGGTACGTGGAATTGTCCTGTAAGTATAAAAGACTGAGAGTAGATCTCTCATGATATGTATTGTGTGTCCTGTTTCAAAGAAATGAAACATTTCTCGGTCTAATTCATGGAGAATGTGCGAAAATTTCCCGAAAGAGAACGCTACCGGATATGTCGCCAAGCATTCCTCCATCAAATGATATTCAAAGTTCTGTTGTAGCATGCCATTGAAAAAACGAATATTTTGCTTTAAGCCAAAGGTATCTGGCACGTTCATTAGGAAAGCATCCGTTTCTACCATACTTTTAGTGTTTCTTAAAATATCTTCAAGCATTGTTTTTTCGCTTTCCGATTGCAAGGACAAATTTCCGTCGGCCGACAAATATTCCATTATAAGAACATTATTCTTTGTTGTTTGAAAATACATATGCATCCAATCATTATGAAGCGTACCAATAAGTTTTGTCTTCAGATTCTCCGATTGCTCTTGCTGCGAGAATACATCCAAAGCACCATACAGGTCATTAGTTTGAATAAATAGATCGGACCTCTCCAAAGTCTTCAAAGTGTCGATCTCCGGATATGACACTCTGTCACTCAGAAATTTTGTCATGCCGCTGAGATAAACCGTGGAGATTATGATCGTAGAGAAACTGAAGATGGCGAAAAGTATTTTGCCGGTATGCAAACGGCCCAGAAGGAGAGTTGGTGGGCTCCCGCAGATGAAATACGCGTAAACGGTCAACCAAGGTGTCGTATTCCTATGTAGATCAACCTCTGACTGCGAGTAAAGACGAGAAAATACTTCGCATTGCGTGTACTGGAAAACGTACTGCGCCCAGACAAATAGAATGATCGTGATTGCGATGAATATCCAGACGACAGGCGTGTAGCTTTTGAAAATGACCAGACTTTGAGGCACATATTCGCTGCGTGGAGTGGCGATGCACAGCGCGGTTGAAGCGATCATGGGTGAAAGGTGAAGTTTGGAGTAATCGGTTCCCGATAGAGAAATACCAAAATTGAAGGTTTCCAAATCAGCATCGAACTTAAGACTCAAATCATCCGCAATAAATTCAGTTCGTTCATCAGCTCCTTGTAAAATTGGACGAACATTTTGTCCCTTGATCGTACAGTTAATCGATTTTTCTAGATGTTCAACGATAGGGTCTAACAATGAATCCCAGAACTCCATTGCTCCACGTGTCATAACTCTGTTGTTTTTACTTGCTGCATTATAGAAGACCCCTAGCGATTTCTTATGCATGTTTTTCAACGAGAAATCGAAGAAGCCTCCATCGGTTGCGTCTTCGAGGGTGAGGATAATTTCCGTAAACGGATCGTACCTGTCACACCCGCCTGGATGACAAATGATGAGTTTTCGACCTCTGAAAAAGCGCCAAAAGAATTTGAAACAAAAAAATAGTTCACCCATTACATTTTGGCCGCCATTTTTGAGCGGTGAAATGTCACTTCTCAGCATAAAAACAAAATAGACTTGCGAGTTCCAAATTGCGTTGATGTAGAGGCCACGAGTTGAATTGAAAACAGAATCTGACAGAATCGAGTCGTGGCTCAGCTCTAGAGAAGTTATTCTGAATTCTTCATCGCAGAACCCTTTTCCTTCTGGGTGAAGATAACGACCATCAACTAAGATGCAACACCGCGGTAAACCCTGCAGAATCTGATGTTCCCGATGCGTTTGGCTGCAGCGTGCAAGAGTCCAAGTTATTGGAGGTTGCTAGCTTTCTCGCTTTTTTCATACTATCTGCAACGGTAGGACCTGATTTTGATATTGAGTGAAACATCAAACTGAATAGCTCACTGACATCGTCCAGAGAGAAAATCATAATTTTATTATAATTATTAACGACTGAATTAGTGAATTCACCATGACCTGAAATTGAAATAGTCTGAAGTGAGGATCGATGAAATTGTTTAATTAAATGTGGAATTTCAGGATCAGCATTGAAATCCACGACGTGAAGCACTTTGTGCTCCTGGGTTTGAGAAATTTTACCACATACCTCAAAAACTGACTGAGTTAAAGGCTTCATTTGTGGACCTAAAGAATGCGAAAATTCAATACCGTTACGTTGACCGAGAACAACCTGGATAGCTGAAAAATGGATCAAAGTTGGAAACATTTCAGCAGAAATGCGCTGATGTGATGCTACCATACGAAACCTCCAAATATCTGAATGAGAAAAATAAAACTTATCCAATATTTACAACGAATGTCAACGATACCTTCCTCTTAATGCAGTTTTATTAAATCTCATTTCATATTCAAATCCAAGGAAAAGTATTTTCTTTAAGAGTATAATCAAAGCAAATTGCACGAAACTGATATGGAGTGGCCCTTGGTATAGGTAATTTGAAATTGGTTCAGTGAAGAATAGATCGCCAGGAGAAAAGATGAGGTTGAGACGATAATAGTGAGGGCCTAACGCATGTCACTGTGTACGCAAAATCAAATGAGGAGCACTGATACCTTTTATTTTCTGAATACTTAAGATTAAAATTATTTTCTCTCCTTTGAGGTTCCTTCGTTTAACGCAAAATTCCATGTCAAACACGTTGTATGAAAACCTTTGGTGGCTTTTTCTAGAGCCTATGTTTCGACTTTTGTTGAGGGTTTTGTGGAACAAACTTTGCGTACGTTTTTGACACCAAACAACGTGAATCAACCCGGAAAGTTTAAGCTTTTAACACGAAAATACTAGAATAAATAATAAAATCTCATCATTAAAGCGACCGTCTGAAGGAGTTAGGTTCCAATAAACAAATAGGGAATGTTGTTATTCGAAGTGTTTTCGAACGTAATAAAACTGGGTGATGAACAACTTTGCAAATGTGTCACTAAATAGAGTGACAGACAACATGTAGGGCAAATGTTGGTTTCCTGTTTTATGATGCATTTTTGAAGGATTTTATTTTGACGTATCGTCGGATGTAGAGGGACTTATCTTACAATATTTTTCAAGTAGCAAGGTAAAAACCAGCCTGCTTTACTCGTTTCATTACAATACTTAGATCCATATTTGTCTTTTGTTATAAGGAGATCTTGTAGAAGAAACGAGGTTGAGACGGTAGTAGTGAGGGCCTACCGTACACAAAATCAAATGAGGAGTACTGATACCTTTTATGTTAGAGATCATCATAGTAGGTCATCATATTTGCTTTCGGCCAAGACTGCAAAATTGTTGTAATTCAAGTCTTGCGCCATGGCTCTGGTGGTGGGAACGAAAATTGCGTTTTGGCCAAAGGGGTTGGCAAGAGCAAAACGAAGCACCTCTGGGTGGTTTGAATCTTTAGGAATTATAGAGTCCGTTTTTGTGGGTTTACGGTAAATGCTAAATCCAAATTTATTCCTATACTTATATCAATTTTCAAGTCCAAAAATGTATTACCTTTCCGCCTATTTCAGTAGTAAACTTAAAGCCCGGTGCACAACTACTCAGATAATGAAGTAAGTTATTGTTATCATCATTCATTGAATCAGTATCATTCAACGTGTCATCGACAGACCTACCATAAAAATATAAATGCCTATAGTATGGGCCAGAGTTGTTCATCATAAAAGTTTCCTTAAAAATATTCAGAAATGTAGTAGCTATTGTACTTCAAAGTTGAACTAGAAGCTCCACATTTTTGTTGAAAATTGGGGAAGATAGCTCAACACTGACGCCATATCTAGGATGGCTGGCTCTTGGAGTGCCTGCAGTGTAGCTGACAAGGGGGAAAATGAGGTCGAAACATCGAGAAAAAGGAACCAACGTTAATTATGGAAGTCTCCGAGTATGAATTCGAACGCATTGAAAACGAAATTCCGAGAAGATTTTTTCTACTTACACTGTAAAAATTCACATGGATTCAAAATGTTTTTCGCCATAATTTTACGCAATCTTACATTGGAAGCAAAAAAAAAAAAATTAAACTGAAGTGAATGTCGCTCTAGAGGAGTGTATGACGTTAAGCTGTGACAAATTCTTCTTCTTGGAGAAGTTTTTCCGATCATCTGGAGGCTCTATAATCATTAATTGCAGGGCTTGGAGGACAAAGCACATAAGTGCAGTTTTTGCTATTTCGAGAAACATTTGTTTGAAGTTTCGAAATTACCTGGATCCATATTCCGAAAAAAAAGTTCAAACTGATTTTTTAATGCTTAAAAATTGGAATTCCGAAGCGAATTTTTCACAGAATATGCATTAAGACAAGTTCTACTCGAAATCAGAAGTAACTCAAGTTTTCAAAAACTGCACTTGTTTGTCGGCCTCCCGCGGTGTAGTGGTTTCTGTAACCAAGAGCTCCCGAGTTCGATTCCCGGCCAGGTGACCTGAGTTTGATGGTCTCAGACAATGGTCACCTGGGGTTGTCGGTAAGCGTGAGATTAACCAATATGGGCTATTTGAAGCTTGTGAAAAAAGGAAAAAAAAATCTATGCGCCTTGTCTTCCAAGCCCCTCAATTTCAGTTACATTTGGCTGAAATTGAATTGTAAGGAGATTTTTTTGCACCCCTGAATGAATGTAGCTGTAGCGTGCCTGACCTATTTTCAATAAGGTAGACCCCATCGGTGTTGAACGTGTTGTTCAGGCACTGGTAGTAAGGCACGCATTCACAGTCCTTCTCCTCGCCCTCTGCCTGGTTTCCTGCAGAGCTCTCTGAATGAGAGATGGACCCGGGGATCTCGTTGCTCAATTCACTTTGCCCTGCCGTCAAAATGGCGTTCAAGGATACTGAAATCATCAAGCACGCGAGTGATACTTGCATCTGCAAAATGAAAACAATATGAGAGTAATTAGTTATAAAATTCAATTCTCGTGGTGCCATTTAACAATATATTATGCCAAATCAAACTAGAATACTGATGTGCGGAGGAAAAACGTCGTATGAGCCTTCAGGCGTTGCCAAATTTCTTCAGGCAAATTACTAATTTTCAGGAAAATTTGAGAATGATTTCTTCCAAGTTCTCGGATGATTTTGGTTGTTTGATCTGAAGTGTCTGAAAATGTTAAGAAAAAATATTTATAACTTCTCTCAAAAATAAACACTCTGTTGGAGGAAATTTGGCCACTCTCGAATGTTCATACAACGTTCTTCTTTAGCACGGCAGAATAGACCGTGCAAAATCTTCAGCCCCTCCACCTACTCATACTCCATGTACCTTCCTCTTCTTCTTATTCTTCTTCTTATTTCTTTTTTTGTTATTTGAAAATCTTAATCAAAATTTTGACGTTGAATGAAGAGACCAACGTCAACAGAAGCGCAAACTATCGCCATTTTTATGTCAACGGAGGGAGACTGCATGAATAAGTGCTGGTTACGGAAAGTTGCAGTTCTGGAGAGATCGAATAGTAACGGATACATGCGCCTTTAGGAATTAAAAAGAGTTTTTCCTACACCTTTTAACCAATCAACCGAAGAATTGATGTGATAATTCTGAAAATTTATGTTTCTTCCAATTTCATATTTGTAGAGTAATCTCAAAGAAGGCTTTAATAAGTACTAAGATTGACCGACTCAGGGAAGAAAAATGTTAACATTGGTTCTCACGGAGCTTTCGCCTCTGTTGATGTAGTCTACTTATTTTATGATCATTTTTTCAGAATATCCGAGCATCACATCAACGTTATAGAACGTCAAGCACTTTGTAACCAACATTTTACGGAAACACCTGAAATAACTCTAAGGACACTTCCCGAGATTATACAGGGTGTTCCAAAAATCCCTCTCCCCCCAGTAAGGGCTACCATTTGAAAAAAAAGTGAGGGGCCCCAAAAAACTTGTTTTTTGAAAAATGTTGACCCCCCTAGAAGATGGTTCCCTTTGAGATAGAAATATTCCCAAAGTGACGTTATTTTATTTTAAACGGTTCAAAAGTTAGAGGGAGGCGGGACTTTTGGAACACCCTGTATAGGGAATCAAGAGCCAAAACGATTTGCCATTTTCAATCAAGACGTACTATTCAAGCTATTTCAAAATGTGTCTTCGTCAAATTTTGTGTACATATCTCATGATAGCGTTATATGATTCTCAGGAATATTTTTTTGAAATGTACAAGAATTAAGAAATGATCAATTCCGTGCAGTTCAAGTTCCGGGTGTAGCACCCGTTGTTCCGGCCAGTGGACCTGGAGCAGCCAAAATTACGACTCCAGCACCCGGAACTTTTGTTGCCCGGAACGGACGGTGAGTCTATCACCAGTTGTTGTCACCCTGTTTTTCAGTGTGTTTTCAATTTTTGTTTCGTTTTACAACAAAACTTTTTACTCGATCGACTGCATCTCCTATGCACAACAGATTCTTTTTTTAGATCGATCAAATTAAAGTCACGAATTTTTCAATTTTATTTTACCGGACTGAGGCATTCACACTGCATCTCATGTCGCTTATTAAAATCCAAGAAATGCGTATCTCCGCTCGCGGCGCTACTGATTTTCGTCATGATTTAAGTTTTAAATGTGAAACACTCAACGGCACCCTTGGAAACCTCCTCCATGACCGTGAAAATTCCAGGCGCAGTAGTATTGGTTCATTCTCCATTGATAAAGGAAAATCGGAGCGGAGCTTTTAAAACACCGGAAATGAAATACGCGTTCTTGCAAATTCACTGTCTATATCTCTATCTTTGGTCTGTGTTACTTTTGAGAGTGAAAGTATTTAAAAAAAAACAAGCGGGAAAGTTCAAATACTGTCGTATTAGAAGAACGCTCAGGTGTTAGTCAATGTATTTAGTGAAGAAAGGAAGTATAAACTCCGTCGACTTGGCTGGGTAATGGAAATAAAACATCAGCTGATAGCAAACAAAGGTTACCAAGGAAACCGTAAACGCGTATTTTTGTTTCCCGAAAATGAGCTCACCGTTGAATTCATCAGGCACGTTTTTTTAGGCTTCATTTGAGTTCAACGATCAATTTCGATAAGAATTACTCTACCGCTAAGAAATTTTCTTATAGACAAACGATCGAAACTACCTGCGCATTACGTTAAAAGCATTAAATACAGTTTTCACAGCTTTATTTATTTTAAAAATGGACCCCCCCCCCAAAAAAAAAGCCTACACATCGATGAGCTGGTGCGCCATTTAAACGCATTAGCACTAGTATACTAGTACTCAGAGGTAAGTCGAAATCAAAAAGCGCTGCCTATCGGCTGAGCGCTTAAAATTATTAACTATCATGTCACGTAAAACGTTACTATAGAAACTCGGATGGGAAATCATTGAATATTCTGAGGATTCTCTTTTCTCGTGAGCGTAATATTTTTGCCAATCTTTTTCCCGCCCTCAATGAAAGCTTTCTTAATGCGCTAATCGATGGTGAAACTCCCAAACCACGTATCTCGGTTTGCGACGTTGTAGACTTCCTGTTATACTTTATTTTTTAAATGAAAACTGCTCAACGTCATTCTTGAGAACTTCCGTGATTTTTCTTTACTGTGCGTAGAATAATCCGTAAAAATCTCAAGAAATAATATTGATTTGGTGTCCTTCAAAAAAATAAGATGGGAGCGGAGATTTTTAGACACCGCAAACGAGATACGTTGTCTGGTAGTTTCACCGTCGTAATGTGTCCACGATAATCATTGCCGAAAAAGTCTAAAACTGTTGATAGAATTTAGACATAAAAAATTAAAATGAGATATATTTGCGGTGATGTAGTAGTTATCCCCGTAGAAATTGCTATAATCTCATAAGAACAAACTACAAAAAAACAGCTAAGCAGCATTGGGTACTCGTACGGTCGCGTGTCATTGCTCATCAGCGAAAAATTAATCCGTTTTTAGTGCGCCTAGGAATCGGTGCGACGGGAAGGGGGAAATAGAACATTTTTCAGTACAAGTTCTGCCGGGTTTTACCAAAGTTGGGTTTTTTAAACGCCGCGCCAGCTCGATCCCAGATCGAGGAAAACCGAGTCTCAGATGAGCGTGGCGCTAGACAGTGGCGTGGTGTAAATTGCGATGTATCGATTGTTATGCCTTTTAAACCTATGATAAAGAATCGATTATTAACGCGTTCGCGGCGAACACCCTGTTTATCGATCCTTTCCATAGGTTTAAATGGCAGATCATTCGATACATCGCAAAGCACGCCACGCCACTGCTAGATAACACAGCGCGGCTCTGCCGTGCTACGGAAAATAACAGTAACATTTATTCTGAGGTGAACCTGGAAGTGCATAAGAGCGCGTGATAACCACGACTTACGTCCTGGTGGAGTTACTTTTCCATGAATGGGTTGTTCAGCGGCTCTGAAGTAGCGCCCAACAGCGCCACACGGGATTCCCCTGGAACTGCTTTATCTCGCCGCGTTTTTGCGCGTTGTTTGTGCCAATCAGGTGTGCGAATAATGTTCTATTTCAGACTATAAAACCAATTAATTAATAAAACTTCCCTCGGTTTTTTGGCGCGTATACGTAGTATACCGCCTTTGCGATCGTTTCGACCCCCCCCCCTCGATACAATAACCGAGTCCCCTAGTTCCTTACCGAAAAGTGACTACCGCGAACTTCTGAGATTTTCCAAAGCGTGTAAAAAGTTTACTAATCCGTCAATAATAATGATTAAAATTTGTTTCTCATTCTGGGGCTCGCTAGTTTATGTGTAATGAATACCAAGAGTCTACGTTTCTTGGTTTTTTTTAAAAAA